TCGCCACTGATTGCGTGCATCTGAATCAACAAAGTGAGCGCTTTGACAAAATTGTACTCAGCGAAACCAGAATATAATGTTTGCTGTCGTCAAGTCACACTTAAAGTTCTGTTATAATGTTAGTCTTGTTTTTATGCATTTAAATCAAGATGTATGCATTTTAACAACAGTAATTTCAGCTTAAAAGTGCCTTTTAAAGGACTTAGGCACAATACTTAGTGACTCAGACGAATACTATCAGCATCCAAGGAATCTTAATTCCTTGTAATGCTACATGAGCTGTACGTACAGACCAATAAGGATTAATTCAGGGGTGAAAATGTGGTCCATTGAAAAGGTACGTACCTCAATACAAATTTCAAATAAAATGCTCTTATAATCTCCATTTTTCTCATGAATTCCGCAGGTTTTTCACAGCCATTCTTCGAAAAGAAAACACAGTTATTGTTACGACTAAAGAGTCATCATAAAGGAAAAAAAGCTACACCAAAACAACGTTAATAGTAATCTACCCCCGTAGTGGAGTGTGCTATCTTTCAGTCCGTCCGCGGCTAGGTTTAATAAAAATTACGCTAATGCGGGCGCTCCACTGGCTGTCGAGCGCAGCAAAGGCGACCCCCATTGGCCAGAATCGACATTATGTGGTGGACACATTATATGTGGTGGACATATCGTACTTAAATGCACCGTTCAAAATTTATTTTGCCCCCATTTTTAAAACGGAGGACACGGAGCGCCACGCTACTCGAGGTACGCTGCGTGTATGCATATTAGTTTGCATTAGTAGCTAGCAGGACCCACGTACACAGATAGACAGTCCGAGGCTCCTGAGGCTGCTTAGGGGGGGGGGGCTTATAACTTGCAGGATTTTAGCCTGCAAGGATGCGGTTGGTCGCATGATGCACGCGTTTCCTTGAGATATGGAGCGGTTCTATCTTCGGCAAACTGCTCTGTCAGCGTAGAGGCCCAACGTCGTTTAATGGCTTGATAATGGCTAACGGAATTGTCTGTGCCATATTTCAAATTGTGGCGCGGGAGGCTGGCTACTTGGATAATGACAACGAGCGGATTTCGTGTGTGAGGGAAGCGGCTGAGTTCCCAATGCCGTATTAACTGCGGCGCGGGAGGCTGGCTACTTGGATAATGACAACGAGTGGATTTCGTGTTTGAAAGAAGCGGCTGAGTTCCGAATGCCGTATCAACCACGACAGCTCTTCGTCACCGTTCTGGTGAATTCAGCTTCAGCAAATGCTGGTGTTTTATGGGATCGGCTCTTCCCTGATCTTTCCGAAGACTACGCACGGAAACATCGGGCTTTGATGGACCCCTACAAGTCGGCGCTGATAAAATTTGAAACGCTGATGAGCATTCAATAACTACCTAAGCGAACGGGTATGCGGTAGGAGACTTCGACAAGCTACCTCAATTGGGATCGCTCCCCACATTGATTAGTGAAGCGCTTCGCCAAACGGATTACATCGACGTGAGCTCACTGGATACGATGCGTCAGCTTTGGAGGCAATTGTAAGCACAGAAGATCAGCTAAACGAAAGTAAGCGAATGGTTTACGACCAGATTATTGAAGCGGTTGAATGCCCGGAGGAAGGCAAGAAGTTATTTTTTGTCGATGGCCCGGGTGGTACTGGAAAATCTACACTGCTTCGAAACATACTGGCCAAAGCCAGACTCTCGGTGGAAATCGTCATCGCTGTGATGTCCAGCGGTATTGCCTCGCTCTTGCTCATGGAAGGTAGGACATCTCATTCTACATTCAAGATCTCTTTGAAATTGAACGAGACCTCCATATGCGGTATCAGGAAGAACTCCTATATTCAGGAGTAGATCTAGCATGCTAGTTTGATTATTTGGGACGAAGCACCCATGGCCCATCGCCACGCGTTCGAGGCAGTAGACCGAACACTCCAGGACATACTGGACAACGATACCGAGCCTTTTGGTTGGAAAGTGTTTGTACTATCGGGAGATTTCCGCCGGATTCTCCGTCGTGAAAAATGGTACAGCCGTCGAGACAATTGACGCTAGCCTTAAGTTGTCGAGGCTGTGGTTTTAATTTCAGACGTTCCATCTTACTAAAAACATGCGAGTGCGCACTGCTGAGGAAATGGCTGCGTTCTCCGAGTTTCTTCTGCAAGTTGAGGAGGGAATACATGATGTTAACCCTATCCTAGCAAGTTATTACATGAAGATTCCGCGCGATATGCTGATCGAGAATCCACCTGTGCCTGAGGACGAGGACCAAGAAATTCGTCCTGGCGCTATTCCAAGAGACATGGATCGAATCATCGACGAGATGTATGGCGAGATTAAAAACCCCGAGGTTGCAACCAGCGGATATTTTGCTAAACGAACGATCCCCACGACCACGAAGGCAATCGTCCACCGCATCAATGAAGCGGTGGCCGACCGATTAGCTGGACAGGCGCGGAAATACATGTCCTCCGACTCTGTACAAGACGACGGTGACGGTAATTGCTTCGAGCAGGAGGTTTTCCACTCGAGGAATCTCAGTGGAATTCCTCCCCACAAGTTGACCATCAAGATAGGAATGCTTATCACGATGATGCGGAGCCTGAATCCAGATCTAGGGCTGTGTAACGGAACGCGGCTTCAAACCGTGACCATCAAGCCACATGTTATTCACGCCACAATCATGACAGGTGAGCGACCCAAACAAGGGCAGCATGTGTTAACTCCCCGCATTGTTTTCACCAGTGACGTAGCCATTCGGAGCTTTCCGTTTCATTTGAGACGCAAGCAGTTTCCTATCCGACCAGCCTTTGCGATGACGGTCAACAATGCGCAAGGACAAACGGTGCAGTACTGGGGGCTGTATCTTGCTAGGCCTTGCTTCTCCCACGGGAAGCTGTACGTTGCGATGTCGCGAGTGACTTCAAGATCAAGATTCAAGGCGCTGGTCGAGTACCCAAAGCTGGAGGATGAGGATGGGGCTTACACCCAGGACATTGTCCATAGGCAGATCTTTGGTTCGGAGTAGGAATATTCAATTTCATATGCATTTAATACATTACGTTTTACATAAAAAAAAATGATTTCGCCGGAGCGAAGAGCAGCCGGGAGCCCATTTCCCCTGAGACTAAAATCTGCCACCTCCGTCGCGAAGCGGCGGCGGCCGACTAGTCTTAGCAACTATTGCGGCAGTCTATCTGCCCGTCACACTTAAATTGTCGTGCCTGTCACGCTTTTCCGGACAATTCATTGGACAAATAATTTAAAGATTTTGACTGGCTGCCGAGAATTGGCTAACACTGGGTTGTGTAGCTTACATCATGTGTTTCACAGTTTACGTATGGGATTTGCACAAGGCTATCCATTACGGCATCGTTTTATTATTATTTACTATTTTAATAACGGCAAATCTACAGCCCATGATTTCTACACTATGATTTATACATGATTTGGTCCATGGCTGACCATGTTTGTAATTTAAATTATTTTCCCTTTTAAAATACAGGCGGGAAAGCCAGTCATTTGTCGGACACGCGTCACGAGAAGGCGAACCGCTCGCCACTGCTGCCCCGCGCGTCCTGGCAAGACCCCAAGACCCCCGCCAACCGACAGCGGTCTCTCTGCGCGCCCCTTCCCCCACCACCATTACGTCTGCCCGCAGGTACGCAGAATCGCTTATGCTCCATCATCTTCATTGACGCGTACAGGACGCAAACTAACTCTTCCTGCTGCTGAATCATGTTGTGTTGGACCATAGAGGCGTCTCATCCGCCCCAGAACCATATTCCAGCCCCCTCATCGTCTCCGTGTTCGCTTTAAAGGCTTTGAAGTAGAGAAACCTCGAAGAGGTGCGAATACGTGTGTTGATTGGATATGGATGCAGCTTTTGCTGATGAAATGCCTGCAGCTCGCCCAGAATTGCTCACGCGCGCGATACACCACCATGAAGCAGTTGAGAAGCACGACCAGAGTTCTCTACGAAACGGTATGACACATCTAATACGATGTTACCATGCGATGCATGTTCGACAACTAACTCTTTAACTAACTCTTTGTGTACTACTGTCATTTAGTAACCACTGCATTACTGTTACTTGGTACTCGCTGGAATTTTTGTTCAGGTATGTTTATTCCATGACCTTCGTGGCGATGATAAATAGTCAGGCTAAAGAGGTCTTCCATGTTTGCTCCATGTTTCTCCCATGTATTGATGTTACACAGCCATATGGTTCGGACAAGGAATGTTTAATCATCCTGAGTCCATCGTTAAACTATCAAATAAAAAACACTGCCGTCAACAGCAACAACAGCAAGGAGTCTTGCGACGCGATATCCAAATGTTTTAATGGCAGAATCGAGTGTCTAATGACTAATTTTGAATCAGCACAAAATGAACGAACTTCAATGCATTAAAAATGTTACAGTTTAGATATTTTTTAAGCTTTCAGGTATGAGAAGCGATCAATCTCCAGTTAATTACAAGCTCTAACAGGCAGTTCACGCGGGTATTTAGTGCAAGCTGGACAGGCCATCACTATCATTCGCATTGATGCGAGCTAAGTTTCATAGCGGCTTAGAAACGGCTTATTATATCGTGCACAGCGCTAGACTAAATATAATATATTTATAAATTAATTATTTAGTCAATCGCCGTGCTCGATATCATGGGCGCTTCATAATATTATTGTAAAGCGTTTTGTTTAAATGATTCTGACAGTGATAGCCAGCAATAATAAAGAGACTGTGTCAGGATTACTAGAATATTTTTTTAAGCATGGTAAGCAGGACTCAGTCTTTTGTAAAAATAATTGCGCGAACTGAAGCGACTGGTCTTAATTAACCCCATATTTATGACAATTTAAAGAAGTTGATTTAGGCCCATACGGGTTCAGAGGTTTTGAAAAATTATCCCGCCTCCACTTCGCTTCGGCGGGAAGGCAGCCAACTAGAATAGAAACTAAACTACCGCCGCGTAGCAGTAGCGCTCGGCTAGTTTTGCACAGCAATGAGCATTACTGACTCAGCGTGAAAGGCTCTGATGAAATATCCTCTCCGCGATGAGTTTGGTACTGCTCGCTGGGCGATCCAGGGCGATAACCTTCTCCTTCTTCGATAATCACTGATGACGTGTCCTCCCTCGCTGACAACTGAATCCGCATGACCCCCGAAGCTCCAGCACTTGAAGACTCATTGTCTTTCTCCGTTTCAATTAGCCTCTCACGCATTGATTTCCATCCAGACAAACTCAACTGCGGACCACGCGGTGGTCTTTGCGGACGGCCCCGCGACAACACCGATGGGTCCGGTGGAAGTTGCTCTAGCCCTGCAATAAAAAAAGCATTAGGCATTACATTCAGCCTTCGGACTGCAGCGACCTGTACGTACAGGGTAATGCTCGTTTGAGCAGCTTTTTGATGCAGAAGATGAACATCGAGAAGATGATGAACGACGCCACCCCCATAGCGATCACCAGCATAATGCTGCCCACTTTGGCCTTCTCGAACGACGGACATCTGTTGTGAACCACCAGCGAATTTCTCGTCTCTCGCTCGCAAACTGCCAAGCAAATGCACCCATTCTGTCCGATACAAACTGTCGAAGACTTGTCTCCTCCTTTTGCAGCATATTCCTCCTGCCATCGAGAGCGACAAGTAGTGCAAATTTCGTCTGAAAAATCACAATAGGATGAACTGGACGCCAAATAATAGACCTCGCCTGCGATTTGCTCCGAAATGCTCAAACATTGACCAAAAACTCCAACAGCACACTAAAGAACAATAGCGCGTTAAAAAGAGACCAGGCTACGGTGAACGTCGCCTTACCGAATCTCCAACGACTCCGACGTTAAGACAGTCGTAACAGGTGCGGGACTTCTCGCAACTTTCACCCGCGTACCAAGTGCACGAGTCCCCACTCGTAGAGACATTGGTGGGCGCTGTCACCTCCTGTTCGAGGCCGGAGCTGTTGGAGGAAGCCATGGAGTTGACTAGTGCTACGGAAGACTTTTTGCTTCGATAGAGACGTTGGTGGTACAGCATTACGCATCTTCTTTCTGGAACTTCAATATCGCTTGCACTTTAGAAGACGTTGTGGGTACATGTACATTGTGGGATGGCTCAACTTGCGTACCACTCGTTATCTAGGTGTCTGACAGTCGAGGTATAATAATAAAAGGGTTTGACTACATTGGCGCCATCATGTATTGCGATTCGACTGCCGGGGATCTCGGTGGGGCAGGACACACATCCACGACGACAGAAGGTGCTTCTGATAAAGATTCCTCGCTTCGAACTGTAGCGTCGAGCCTTGTCTCGACCTGGACGAAGCTGTGCTCCGTCTCGATGAGCTTCTCTCGCAGCGATTTCCAACCGGTCAAGCGAAGCTGAGGTCCCGACTGATGATGGTGTGTTGATCCTAGAAAGCAAGCACCGTTAAATAAACGTTTTGTTTCTCTTCCCGAGCGATAGAATATAAGCAAAATTACCTGATCTCATGGGTACCGAAGACCGGAACCACCTTCGCACCAAAAAGACCGAAAAAATTATAGTTGCACCGAAACAGATTCCCAAATGATGCATAACTGCGTGGCCGATGTAAACTCGTGAGAGCTATTTACGCTGCTGCTGTCACTGGATCCGTCGCACTGGTTCGCTACGACGGTTTGCTCCCAATCCGGCACTTCGGTCGCTGCAATACAGATACAGCCGTCCGATCCGGTGCAGTATTTGGTAGAGCCGCCACTTCCCGTCATCTCGTAGTTGCTCGACCACTCGGCAATGCAAGTCGAGCAGACTGAATCATCGGCACTGCAATATGTGTAGGCCGGAAAGTATCGTGACAACGGCTCGTAGTGTTCTCGGTTCGACAGATACTTTTCGTAGACAGAAATGCTGACGCAGGCGCCATTCGGGGCGATGGCACACTCGTCCGTCTCCAGCAAAACATTGAGACAGTCGAAGCCGGTTCGTGGCAGAGAGCAGGTCTCGCCGGCGTACCAAGTGCACGAGTCGCCGGCATTGGTAACCATCGCTCTAGTCGCATTTACTGCATCGCTTGATGCGGCGTTGGTGGGGTGCGACGTCATCTGTGTCTGGAGCAGCAAAATTTACTTAGGACGTCACTCCAGCGCAGGAATGGCGATGCGTGGCCATCGCACAAAATGGTCTCAAGTTGCTGGCACTTGTTTTATTGTGCTGCGACTTTGTGCCGTCTAGCATGACATCCAATCTCGGTACATGAAGTTACTTTTAGCCAAAATTTACTGAAAGTCGCTCACTTGATTTTAGTAAGCAAGTGCGATTGGACGCACTTTTAGGCTGCAAAAACATGCGAGAATGAGTTTTATCAGCTTTACAGTCTGCTGAAAAGAATTTATGGCACTTTTTAACATAGTGTAACCCTGGATAAACTAGCAATTTACTACATGTAAGAGCTACGCTACTGCATTCATCCACCTAGAGCGATGAGATGAACGCGCCGTTCATCCCATAGTTTAATGGGTTCATCTCATCATGCAAGTTGCATAGCTGAGGCGTTAGCACGCGTATTTTAATCGACGGCACTACTGCCCATGTTTGAAACCCATGATGAAATCCACGATAAATCATGGACATGCCCATGATCGGTCAGGTATTTTATTTTGCACCATACGGATCCAAATCCCCAACGCCTACCCTACAGTACCCCATTCTCCGGCTGAAGACGAGTGAACTATAAAGCGTGGCGCCGCCTCCGCCGCCGCTGAAGTCTGCCCCTCCGCTGAAAAAGCCCGCGCGCCCCGCGTAAGCTGCCACAGCGATCCGTTGGGTTGTGTAAAGGAGCCGCCGCCAAAACCGTTCGTAACGGACCGATGGTTACGACGCGCAGTTTGAGTGCCAAAAGAACCCGCGAGAGCACGGAGGTCGACATGGACGTGGACCATGACCAGGAAATGGACGTAAGCCAGGGCCAGGCCACCAGCAAAGCAGAGGACAACAAGGACGAGGAACGCGACGGTGATGGAGATGACAGTGAGGACGCTTCCAGTGCTGAAGACGACAGTGATGAAGTGGCGCCCGCCGATGATGATGCGTTGGACGAGACCAGCGGCGGCTCTCGCCATTACGGCGCTCGCAAACGTGCCAAGCAGGCGACGAGCGTTTGTTCAGACGAGTTGCTGGGCCGCGCAGAGGACAAGTCAGATAGCGCGGCAGAGTCTGACCCTGCGCGTCGACCTCCCGGCAACCACGTCAAGGTGGAGGTCCATGTTGACCCGCCTCAAACGTGGCATGCAAATTGGGACGCGTGGTTGGAATACCTTGAGGTGTACCAGGCCAAAACTCATCAGATGCTGCGGATCAGGGAGGTGCTCACCAACAAGACCAAGAACGAGCGCGTGCTGAAGACCAAACGCGGTAGCAGTGGAGCTGGTGTTGTACCTACGGAGCTCGATCCCTACTTCCGTGTGTACATATGTACACACGGATGGAAAGCCCCCGCAAGTCGCGAGCGGGCTGGGAAGGCTGGCAAAACGTGCTCGCCGCCAGGTCCGCACGACTGAATGTCCGCTGCGGTTCGTCGTGGAGTGGTGTGAGCAGGGCACCGGCTGGACTCTCCGTGTTCAAAACGGCGTATGGGTTCACAACCACCCAGTGGGCCACGCAACATTCAGAACCTACCCGGAGCAGCGTGGGGTTGGTAACCCCAACCTGCAAGATCATGTGAATGGGATGCTGTCGGCCTGCGCGCGGCGTCGGAAGATCTACGCTTTCTTGGTGTCGAATGACCAGAGCATCATCAAGTGCGATGTTGACAACTTGGTGCAGAAACATGCCGCTGGTGATTCGTCAATGGACGAAGACGATGCAGTTGCCAGTGGGCTTGGTGCATTTGCGGCAGCGGATCCCGAGAACCTTATAAGTGTGGATGAAACTCCTACAGGTAAGACAGGGGTGATCTCGTTGACGTCCAAGCACATGCGGCGCATGTACTATCGATTTAGCGAGTTCCTGATGATCGACTGTACGCACAAGACAAACAGGTAGTGTTCATGATTATCTATATCTGATCCATGATTAATCCATGACTGAGATTTACTGAGCGTGTGCTGATCAGTACCAACTACCAGCTCTGTACGTTCATGGTGGTGAATGACCACGGCGAGGGCGTCCCAGTACAGCACTCACTACTCGAGACCAACTTGGACTGGTACATGGACCGCGCGTGTGATCACTTTAAGCGCGCGCACCAAGGGCGCTTCAACATGCTGTGTGATCATGGTGGATAAGGATCTAAATGAGATCCGCATTTTGCGCAGCCACTTTCCTGAGGCCCAGATACTGATATGTGTGTTTCATGTGATCAAGTACCTGAAGGAGAAGCGGGCGAAACCCGAGTACCCCAAATTGTTGACACAAGACTCCTCTCAGATCGACGCGGCCATCCATAGTATGATTTACGCGCCCGGCAACGACGAGTACGAGCAACACAAGTCAGCACTGCAAGGTTTATGCTCCAGGATGGATATGGAGGCTTTCTACAATTACTTTGAGCGTAATTGGGACTCGTGCAAGGACATGTGGGTTCTGTGGCACCGCAACAAGCTTCCGCACTTCCGCGTACACACCAACAACCATCTGGAGAGTTGGTTTGGCAAGTTTAAGACCGGGGTCAAGAGCTCTACCAGGATGTCAGCGTGCATCGAGGCACTAGTGGAATCTGATATGCTGGAGGAGAACGAGTATCGCCACCAGCACGATAAGGTCGGTCGTTTTGTCAACTCTAACTACGACAAAGAGATGGCAATGGTGCTGCGTTTCACCACCCACCATGCAGCCAAAGCAGTGGAGCCTCAGTATGCCGCTGGTCTTCATAAGGCTGACACGTACAGGTTCGATCCGGACCCAGTCGAGCCAGGTGTCGTAACGGTGAGTGGTGAGAAGCACGTACACCGGATCCAGCTGATCGACTGGACATGCAACTGTGAGTTTGCATTATCTATGCGGCTTCCATGCCGCCATGTCATTGCGTATCGCAAGCATACGGGTGTGAAGGACAACGTCATTCCCTGGAATCGCATAGACGAGAGGTAAGTAATGAGACGGTAATGCGCATCTTTGATTGAACTAACCAGCGTGCCCATGTTTTTTCCATGATTGATCCATGATTGTCGCAGATGGACGAGCACTTCAGCCGATCTCCCCCGAACTCGGCAGGTTGCATATCGCGTCAGCGGCGAAGAGAAGAAATCAAGTAAACGAGCTCTCCGTACACCTGGCCAGCGCTACAAGGAGGCACTAGGTGCCACTCAGCGTATTGCATCCGAGCTGGCGTTTATTGATGATGACGCTGAGTTCGACGAAATGCTCCAGTTCCTGCTTGGCCAGTGGAACAACGTCCGACAGAGGAAGCGCGACAATAACAACTTGTCCTCACAAGAGAATGAGGACAAGAGGTCCGCGCCCCGCAAATACGAAGACAATTTGCCCGATGGAGTTGTGTGCGAGGAGGTCGGTCCGAAAGCAATCAGTAGATCTCCAGCCGCGGCAAACGTCACCTCGACCGCACTGGTGCCCTTCACTATTAGAATAAACCAGAAAGCACCCAAAACAGGCCGTCCCAAGAAAGACGAGAAGCAAGCTGTTGTAAAAGCACGAGTTGACGAGAAGTGGTACCAGGCAGGACAAGCAGGCCGGCGCCTCGCAGGCGAAGTGACGCTGTTGGACCTCGCAGCCGCGCTTGATCGAGATAAACCTGGACTTGAAGAAACTCGAAGGCGACTCTCTGGTGTGCTCGTCCGCTACCAGTCGTTCGCCGCAAAAAAGCCGACGTTCTCCAGGATAAAAAAACCTGTTTTGATCCAGGATCCGTTTTACATCCTGCCGGACAATCTCATCGAGTCGTGTTTCAAATTGCTGCCATTGCATAACTGTAAAAATACTGCAGTTGATTTGCGGACACCGCCTACGGCAAATTCAAAGCAAGACGCCGTCGAAGTAATCCAGATCGCGCAGATCGGTGCGTTCAACCGCAAGCAAATTGAGACCTTCCGCCGCATCTCTCAGCTTAAGGCTCACGTGGAGCAAGGGCTGGGATTGTGCAGATGGCTCCTGAACGACGCTCTCTCGGCGATGCCTGCAGCGTACCACGACACGGTGCGCTATGCCGCAGAGTACGTGTGCAAACGCTACCCAGACGATTGGCTCTCGGGTCTGCCGAAACGGTCGGAAAACCGGTGCATGTCAGTTTACACGGCCGTCCCGCCATTTTGGATGACCGATGCTGCTATTCGTGCCTTGTGTTCTCGACTGGAAATGGACTTTCCGACGTGCCGCTTTGCCGGAGACCAGAACCCCACCGAAACCAAGCGGCGCACACGAGCGCAGCCAGCCAAGCGGTCAGCCCTGAGGTCGCGACTAGACTCCGTGAGCTGTGTAGTATGGACGAGGTGGACACGATTCTGATCTCGGTTAATTACGAGAACGAGCATTGGTGCGGCATCGTGGTGAAGCGGAGTGCCAAGCGGATCCTGTATTACGACCCGCTCAACACTAAGGCGTACATACGCGCGTGCGAAGAAATTGTGTCGAGCATCTGCATTCAAGTCGAGGCTCTCAGAAACTTTGATAAGTATCACATGCAGAGCCCAATCCAATTTGATCTACACAGCTGCGGCGCATTTGTGTGCTGGTTTTTTATGCGGAACGCCACGCCAGGACTCCCGACTGATATGAGCACCCATGGCCTCGTTGCGCGCCGGTTTGAGTTGATGTACTATATTCTCACCGGGCGATTGCTTCCGCTGCAACCGCAAGTAGCTGCACCTGTCCTAGACCAAGATGACGACGACAAATCTCTGTCGGTAACACAGACCGCTACGGTTTAGAGCAGAGATGTGGGATGTTTGACGTGGCGGACGTTTTCAGGTACGAGGTAGCGCAAGTGGAGCGTGTTGCGTGCACCATAAAGCGGTCAGCTAGTGCGTGTGTGCGAAGCACCTGCTCCTTGGGGTAATTAATTGCTAATACACGTCATCGCTTTAACTTGACTCATTATCTCTTTCTGCCATCTTTCTGCATCGACGTGAGCTAGCGTGTTGCTCATCAGTACCTTGTCGAAATCTTTTCAAGCAGTCATGGACTATCCACGTCAAAATATAGACGATCATGGACTTTTGTACATGTGCTGTGTTTCGGGCTCTATAAAAATATGAGCTCGAGGACGCCGAAGATTCGGGCTCTATAAAAATATGAGCTCGAGGACGCCGAAGATACTGTACAAAGATACTTTCAAATCTTGCGTAAATAAAGTATCCGATTTGATGGGTTTTCTGAATCCTGGGGATGAATCCTGTATCAATATTTAGGGCTCCATGATTTTGAACATGGGCAGTATCACCGTCCTTTTTAATTATACATGTATTAATATTAATAATTATAAATGTCTTAATATTTTTAATAATACTTGTTGTTTGGCTTACACTGTGAGGTGCAAAAAACTCAAGTGGTGCGTCGAGTCTATGTTAAAACGTTTAAACGCAGCTTCGTCTACATTAATGAATGTTAGCTGCATTTCTGGAGCCTGCTTAGTGCAATTGACCCGAGTCGTGAGACCGCCGCGGACTTGATGAGACAAGGTGATAATCGCCTCCCTCCTCCATCGCATCCGCGTTTGCGCTGCGACCTTGCGCCACTTCCGCTCCTCCATACACTTCCTTCTCAATTGCTATCATCTTCTGACGAAGCTCTTTCCAGCCCGTTAAAGCGAGCTCGGGTCCAGTCTGAGGCCGTCGTGGCACAATCCAAGTTTCTCGAACAGCTACGACAACAAATCAACAATTAGCTGCCAATTTACGCGCGAGTTTCAAAAAATACAGTCGACGCAACTTACTAGGTATGGATGATCCCCGCCCACGACTATTTTCACGACGTTTAAACAGCAACTTAATGCCCCAAAGCCCAAGCAAGACGCCGAACACGATGCCAACAGCAAGTGCAAAGCCGATGCGTGTCACGGGCGACGCTTGACTATTCTCGCCTGAGCTGCCACCAGAACTGCATTGGTCCGTCAGGATCGACGTCGACCAGTCTGGCAGTTCACAACGTGCGAGACACAAACATCCGCTGAATCCTGTGCAATACGCCGAAGCTTCAATGGTGCCTGTGTTGTGGTAGTCAGACGCCCAATTTGCAGCGCAAGCCGAACACGCAGCGTCATCTGCGCTACAGTACGAATGTTTGCTGGAGGGGTAGTACTTGTGGAAGACGCCCACCTCTTGCTGCTTGCTGAAAAAGTGCGAATACTCAGCCAAACTCACGCACATTCCGTTGGCCATAACAGCACACTCGCCACTCGAGACTTTGACGTTGAGACAATCGTAGCACGTGCGTGGCCGCTTGCAGCTCCCATTCGCGTACCAAGTGCAGGAATCGGCGGTGTTGGAGCTGATGCGCTTGATCACCACTGCGGAATCCTCACCGACGTCGACGTCCACCGATGCAGTCGAAGCAGAGGAAGCGTTCATGGCGAATGCTTGGGCTAGACCAGTGTACAGTTTGCGGTGGAGTACGAATCCGTCCATACCTCAAGGGAGCCCCAGCAGATGCTTGTGAAGAGCGCCTCGTACTTTGATGTGGAGCATGAACTCAACCGAATACCGGTATGTGCATAATGAGCAGCATCTGTAGGGTTCTGTGATGGCCCTTATCCGGCTGCCTTTGACGCAGTATTTGTCGTAGTAGCAACAGAAATCGAGTGCAAACAAATACACTACTCGAAGTACTTCGAATAACTACAGAAATACAAGTGTTCATAATTACATTACCGTTAAAAGGCAGCTCGCCAAAAGGCCCGCCATGCCAAAACTTCTGCTGTGTAGCGTCGTCAATAGTATTGCTCGTGCTCATGCTACAGTCTCGCTCCGTCGTTTCCTGTGCGTGTCGTCCAGGCTCGCCGGGTCGGAACTCGCCTTGTTCAAGGCGGATCTCCGCAGTAGTCTCAGTCGTAGCTGGCGTGAAAGAACCTTGCGCATTGTGCTGCAGCGTCACCGCCTCGCTGCCAATAAATCCGTGCTCAGAGTCGATGAGGTTCTGTCGCAGCGACTTCCATCCCGACAGCGCAAGTTGCGGTCCCTTCGGCGGCGGTCGCGGTCTCGTACGTGTTTCACGGTAAATAACTACAGCCACATCACAACCCAGTCAGTCTATCGCCTCCTTTCAACGTAGAGCGTCCTTTAGACTTACCTTCCAGTCCAAATTGCCTACGGTTAACAAATCGACGCACTCCCCACGTCGCGAAGGCGAGGAATACTGCAACTGCGACGCCCACAAAGATGGACACTGTGATACGCGTAGCCATAGACGAACCCGCTAGCACTCCAGATCCACTGCCGTCTGCAAAGCATTGGTCATCAACCACTGAATCCTTCCAGTCTGGGGTCTCGCAGTCTGCTATACACACACAGCCGTCCGTGCCGGTGCAGTACGGAGACATGCCGGCGCTTCCTGTACTCGCGAAGTTGGCGTTCCATTGCTCGTTGCACGTGGCGCAGACGGAGTCATTGGCGCTGCAGTACGTGTACTCGCTGGACGGGAAGTACCGCTGCAGTGGCGTGTAGTAGTAGCGATTGGCCAGGTAGCTCTCGTAGTCGCTCATGCTCACACAGACGCCGTCTGGGTCCACAGCGCACGAGTCTGTCGATAGAAGCACGTTCAGACAGTCGGCGCACGTACGCGGCCGCGTGCACTCGCCGTCATCATACCACGTGCACGGGTCACCGGCATTGGAGCTCACAGACTTCTCCAAGTCGGTGGTAGTGACGCCAGTGACGGAAGCGGCCGAGTCGAAGCTGTTACTGGTAGCGTTGACGTCGACAGCGCTAGAGCCGCTCGCGGAGTCTGCAGATGCGTCCATCAGCTCAGTCGCGAAATTAAGTGAAGAGCTCCGCGTAGCTGTCGGGGAATCGGAGACTGAGCCCGACGGGCACGACGGTATCTGGCGGCAGGCGGCGGTGTCTAACCTTTCGTGGCTCCCGTGTCACTTGATGTGTCGAGTGACGCAGGTGGGCGCGACCATACCAATTTCAAGATAAGTGAGTTTACAGCACCGGGGCGTCCACGAGGTCACTTGTGCATAAAAGCTACATCGCTGACTCGCGGAAAGAGCTAGTGAATCCCGGATGCGAGGAATCTTGCTGCACCGGTAGAAAAGAAGATTCGGCCATTTAGGCTGTCTACACGTTTATAGTTTATTTCGCCCATTATGTCATAAGTCGTGCTGGTGATTCTTTCGTAAGTCAAAGAAATTGCCCAGTTTTGGCGAAGAAGTAATTGAGTATGTGTTTTTAGCCTTATCTTGAACGTGAGGAGTCGTGGCCAAGGAGCAAGTGTCATAAATTCTTAAAAGATGACCCGAACCTAACAGTTCTGAGTACATGTATACATTAATTAAACGTGTGTGTCAATTAAAGTCCATAATACTGTGTATTTTCTTTCAATTGTTAGTCGAATGTACTAATGCCGGCTCAGTGTGCTTCTTATGTACTTCAATAGCGTCTTTGGTGAATCCCGAAGAAATAGCTGAGCGTTTGTCGACCATAGAAAATACCATACCATCTCTCGCGGACTATTGCGTGACGATTTGTTGGACGTGTAGACCTAGCCCACGTGTTTATGATCCACAACTTGTGAAAAAAAGGAAGTAGGAACACTTTGAGTGCTGTGGACCACATGAATACTCAGATCAAGTTGTGTAAGGACCTTCGGAGCTACTCCCTACTTTTGGAATACCCTCGAACAAGAATCAAATACCGGGTTTTGGTTTCTAAAGAATGCAGGCTTTTGATAAATTCTTCTCACCCCTCCCTCGAAATATGGAATTTGAAATTACGAAAAATGACTGTTCTGAGGTGCTTAACTAAAGGAAAGTCACTATTGTGCAGCACGTGCAAAGTAGGCAAGCAAGGACACTTGCTGCTGGCACCCTTTCTTCCTGCTTAGCTCGTATCGCAGCTCTCTCTACATCGTTTTAAGCCCCTGCTCGGACACGCCTATTGAATCTGCTCGAGTAAGCAGTTTTGCTATCCACTTGAGGTGCTCCTTAATATGCGCAGAATCGAGCTCTATGCCATTATTGTCTGCTTCGCATCCGCAGGCACCATTTAGTGAGCATGGTGCGCAGTTGACTTAGGTTCGACTGGCATCTCAGGGGTACTAGCTTGGAAAATTGAAGAATGAGAGAGAATTTGTAAGTAAATTTGATGTCGAAGATCGAATTGCATCGCATTTGGATTTCGGAATTGCAACATCGTGCTTGCACCTTACGGACTGCAATCACCTTCTTCACGCAGTACTTCTCGACTGCATCGTCCTAAAAAAAAGAAGCTTGTAGCTGTTTCCCACTGCATTGTACAAGTGCAAGGTGCTAATTCTGCTTTACTTATACATGTAGTACAGTAGCTGCTTATTATAATAATGACTTCTTTTTGAAGAACTCGATGTCTGATGCAATCATGTTCAGGACTATTCCGATTAAGCTACCTGTATAATACACTCAGCTCTTACAGTCTTACTGAAATCGATCTGAATCGGAACCATGACATTCTGGGCATGCATGTTTGGACCGTGTAGACTGTGAATGTGTATCAACTCCGACTACTGTTTAACTTTTTGCCAATCATATCGGAGATACATACTGGAATTTGATTGGTTTCAGCCGTCGAACAGTTCGGTGACAGTAGTGACATTACTTCGGCTCACTTGATATTTGTAGCTGTACGTTCAAGTAACGGACGATCCGCACACGTCGCGTCACCAGAATCTGAGTCTGGCCAGATACTTTAGAATCTCTTTTGCATCAATAGCCAGAGTGGCCACTTGATGAAACATGGCGTCAATGTCTTCGTCTTCAAGTGAAGAAATCTCCATCCCCACGCCAGCACCGACCGCCTCCGCTGTCTACACTAAAGCCAGCGATAATGTTTGTATGTGGAAGCAGCAGAGTTCGGACGCCTGTGACTCGCCTCGGTCCTGCTACGATTGTCTGAACTCATCTCCATTCGACGGCGTCGAGTGCGTTATTACAAGTGCAGGGTTGTGTACTACCATGTCAGACTACGTGTGGCAGGAAGACTACCGTCTCAACCGCAGCGACGCCGCCCCGCACTACTTCCCTTCTACCAACACAACCTACTGCGAGAGTAGCGACCCCGTGTGCGTCGACTGCGCGGCGAATCAGTTCATCAAGTCTGCGTCCGGCTCCGTAGAGCCGACCCAGTATTGCGTGGGATCAAATGGCTGCGTGTGTGTAGGCTACTGCGAGTCGCCAGTATACTCAGCCAAAGTATCGAACGCGTACTGCGCGACAGTGAACTCCACGCCCAGTGTAAGCGTCATGGGCGTCTCTATGGCCGACATCATCACCATCGTTATTCTGTGCTTCGCCATTCCCGTGTTCGCATACCTGTGGTGGGTGCGGCGCCTGCACAAGCGTCGGCAGGCACGCGAAGAGGCCTATCGCAACCGACAGCCCGTGAACGGCCCGTTACTGCCGCTTGTGGGTTGGAAAAAATACTGCGCCGATCTGGCGGCGAACCAGACGGCACTTGCGGGCGCGGCGGGGAACGAAGATGAAGTGACGACGCCCACTGCTGTAGCGACCGAATTGGAAACTGCTACGGTACCGTCGGCACCGCTCTCAAGTTTGCAGGTGGCTACACTCTCAATCGAGTTTGAGGACCCGCAACATCCGCTAACTGCAGTGACGAGCACTGGTCGACGTCGATCGAGTCTTGACAACACAAACGTGGTGCGAGCACGACCGAGTCAACCGATTGTGAGGAGCGAAGAGGACAGTAAGGTGGAGGAGTTTGACGAGCGTTCGACACCGTATGCTCAACTGGACGACCGCACAGCTTAGTGTAGTAAGTGAAGTTAATATGAGTGCTTAGCTGTGAGAAATGATCGAGAACATTAAGCGGGGAAGCAGACATTGTGGTATTGGAGTCGGACGGTCGACGAATACGTGGTACTATCATGATGACACTTGAGACTCGAGGTCAAGTTGAGTTACTCGTCTTGAGTCTCCAGCTCAATGTAAAGCTGCTGGCACAATGATACCTAAATACCAGGTCAAGCTGTGCCTACCGCTTTTCTTACTTCCATTCAACGGCAGCACCTGACAATACATGCCTTGGTATGAGACTCTCATTGAGAAGACGTTGGGGTCCTCCCTCATGCATGAAAATGAGCTCAAGTGACGCAGATGTTTTATTCCACGGTGGTCATGGGGAATAAAACCTTTTGAAAAAAATCTAAGTGCACTATTTTGTGCGGTTGGCCACGGTAACTTGAAGTTTTTTTCTAAGCTTATGTCCAGGCCCACAGTCCGTTTAGTCAGATCGGCTCGTTCATAATCCACAGAACGCTGATATGATACCTTGGTGGCTGGTTACTCTTCATTGCTGGAAAGTCTCCGTAGATGACAGATCAAAGCTACAACACGTCGGCTTCAGGCTCGTCGGCATCTGCCACAGTCAGTGCCTCGAGTTGCAGCTGGAAGACAGCAATGTCACAAGACGGCGAGTGTTTCCTGGAGCCTCGAACGTGCACCGAGTGTCTAGAGAAGATCCCGTCCACAGGAGACGTAAGCGTTGTCAGATCTTTTTCGAATGCTGCTTCCAGCTAATCTCCTACTTCATTCTACTTGCAGACGTGCGTTCTTACGGATTTAGGCATCTGTATGAGCGTAGGGGACGTTGCAAAAACGTTAGCTATCCATGACGGCGTGTACTACGTGGCCGGGAACGCCACGTACTGTGACCTAAGCAGCCCGAGTGCTCAAGACTGTGTAGTAATCGATAGCTGTGAGTCTTCGAGCTGGTTGAGCTATGCGCGTCAGCGACTGCCTCTGATCGCACTTGCTGTCGACGGAGACACCCCAGAAGGTTGCAGCTTTGCCACAGATACAGTCACCACTGAAGCCGGTGCTAGAAGCGAGTCGACTTCCGAAGATACTTCCTTCATGAGATCTTCGAGGAAAGATACTTTATCGAGTGACGACAAGTGCACGTGGTATCAGAACACGACGCTCTGCCGTACACCTCGGACATGTTTCGACTGTTTGAACACAATAGCTGACAACGGAGAGCCCTGTACGATCACACCGGACGGATACTGCGCTACGTTGTCGTCTAGTTACAACTCTAGCTTGGATTTCCGGAGTCCAAGTAGAGCTGGCGTAGCTAATGGATACTACTACCCGTCGACCAACACGTCGTATTGCGAGCCTAGTGATGCCGCCTGCTCTAACTGTGGTATCGCTGGCTCAGCCAGTAACTCGGTGTCGTATTGTGTGGGGCGTGACGGCTGCATCTGCGTGGCGTTCTGTCAGTCTGCTGAGTGGCAAGAGACTGTCATATCGGAGAAGTGTGCAGCCTCAGCATCGTCCTCCACACTGAGTAAATATGGCACTGAATTCCCATGGAGAATGTTCGTTATTGCCCTCAGTTTGGCTGTGGTGGTCATTCTGGCGGTGGTTCTAGGCGTGTGGCGAGTACGACAGATAATTCGAGCTAGAAGACAAGAGTCGATACGGCTGAGGAGATCCGAAACGAGAAGATCAACTCTGTCGCTGGAGCTGCCGGCGTGGACAGCGATGCGTGAAGAACTGATAGACAAGAAAGTGGATCCTGTGGGGGAAGGACGTGGCCGGTTGCGACCCATGTAGTTGTTTGTTTTTATTACTTCGAAGTATTACACATAGTAATATAATAATTTGTACTTGTTAAATCGAAACACGTTGGGTCTGGGAGAGTGTTGGCGTTGACGAAGATCGATTTGGAGACGGTGGAGCAGCAGGAAGCACGGGGACACTGGGAGACATGGGGCGGTACCCACCACCTTCCTCGACCGTGACCATTGGAGCATCGTCTGGGACGTCAGCGAGTCGACCTTCATTCTCGTCGTTGCGTTCGTCGGCGATGAGTCCGTTGTGCATTTCCTTCCACGCTGACAACTCTAACGTAAGTCCCGTGGGTGGTCGCCGCCGTTCTGCAATACTTTGCGCCAACATATTATGCCAGCGAACTTCCCTTCCTGTAAATAATAGTAATCGTAATGTCAGTACTAACTCAGACGTTTAATACTGCAGAGTACTATCGATACTTACGACGAACACGAAACATGTTGCAGAGCTGGAAAATTGCCGACATAGCGAGTAAAAGGCCCACCACAATAATATCCGCAATAGCAATCGACGGGATGCTGGAGCCACTATTACTATTTGCTGTCGGGATGGCTTCACATGCTTCCTCCACCACAATCGATTTCCAGTTCGGTGACTCACAAAAAGCCACACAAACACAGTCACTCGCACCAGTGCAATACGCAGACAGGTTCGTCTTGCCCGAATAAGCGCCAACAAAGCTTTCAGCACGGCATTTCGCACACGCGACGTCGTCGTCTTCACAGTAGGTCGTATTGGTCGACGGAAAAAAGTGTGCCGCGCTGTCCGAGTGCACCCGTCGATAGTCCAGTGCGAAGTCGAATGCCTCGATCGTTGTGCAGTATCCTCCTGGAGTGATAGCGCACTTCTGTCCACTGTACAGTGCCGTGTTCAGACAATCATAACACGTCCGCGGAGTCTCACACAGTGTCGAGTTCTGGTACCACATACACTCGTCATCGGCTGCGTACGTATCTTTGGTAGCTGGTTTGGTTAAATTACTGGAAGCTGAGATATCTGTTGCCAATGTTGATGATGAACTGGCAGCTAGAGGACACGTCGTGGTCTGGTTGTTCTCCCTCAGCAGAGCTGCAAGTCTCGCTAGCGTGTCATTCCACCAGGATTCAGACTCGCAGGTTGCTATGCAGACACAGTCACTGGTGCCCGTGCAATACACGGACGGATTATTATTCCCGACTGTGAATGTTGTTTCTTGACAAGAACTGCAGACCGAGTCGTCGGGTTCGCAGTACGTTGTGTTTACCTCTGGGAAGTAATTGTAGTGGATTGGGTATGTGGAGGCGGATTGAGGACGGCGATAGTCCTTTGTGTAATCATAGGCCGAGCTGCTCTCGCAAAGTCCAAACGGAGTCAACACGCATTCCTAAATAGAGGGGATATTTAAACAAGGCTACTCAAAATTATAACAAATCGCAGGCGTACCTGGCCACTGCTCAGTCGGCTGTTTAGGCAGTTGTAGCAGGAGCGAGGCTGGGTGTAGCATGAATCTTTGGCCGTCACCTGCTCCCAAGCGCAGTCGTTCGCTGTCGCGGAACCGCTGGCGCTCACGTGGCTTGAAGTGGACGAGAATGAAGAGCTCGACATGCGGCGCAACTGCGGAAGTGGAGAGAGAGTACACTTCCAGCGCTGACCACTAGTGGCATCTGTGTGATACTGTAGTCTAAACCTGTGTACATGTATTTTTCTAAGGTTTCCAAAAAAAATGTTTTTGTACCTAAGTAAATACTAAAGTATATTGCTAGACAGGTTAAGTAGATTCACAGTTTTACAAAATGACGTTAATTTACCAAATAATAGGGGTTATCACGGGTGAAATGCTGAATGTTTCAGCAGTCAAATCTTCACTTTTTAGCTGTGAGGCACTGACCGCAACAAAGAATGACTTCAGATTCTGATTGGTTGATATATCAATGGCACTGAAGGCTTGACTCTAAAAGCCTCTTCCTTCTACGAGCAGGTAAAGCTGTTAATGCGTGCCTACTGACATGCCGGAAGCGTGACTGTGGGTAGTGGTCGCTTTAACCAGCATCTAATATTTCTTCTCGCCAGTGCCACATCCTGAGCCACAGCCTCCGCTGCCGTATCACTGCGTGCATGCACGTGTGATTGCGGCGCGTTTCCTGGCGGCCAATCAAATCATACCTCCCACTGGGACTTTTCACCAATTATTTTAAAATTTCACCTCTCACCCAGGAATCTCCTGTTTTTAGGAACGAGGCAGGTAGGTTTGATCGGATTGGCTGCTAAAGCCTACCTTCTAACCGTAATAGAGAACTTTCGGGAGCGTGTGAGTTTCAATTTCAGATTAAGTAATCGTCTACCTATAAGTGAATCTGAAACAACCTTTTCGGTTGCTCCAATGACCGGTCGTTTCAAAACGAAAAGAAGCAGCAAGCTCGATCGCCACCAAATGCATTTTCCGCTTTGTTTCTCCGGTGACACTGGATCCACTGCGCTCGTAGGATGAACGAGGACATTGGCAACTTAGAAGCTGAAAAACAACGTTTTCATGAGGCTGCAGAAGCAGAAAAACGACGTCAACATGAGCTGGACTTTGAAACTCGCCGCCAAAAAGCAGATGAAGAACGTGAAAAGAGGATGTTTGACTTCCTCAAGTCAGTGTTGATGCAGAAAAAATCTACGGAGTAGCGATGCTCAGGTAGATATCAATTGGCGGTGGACTTAACCCGAAAAACATGGAAACTTGATTGCCGAGTGGTTGCATGCATGTGTGGCAATTAGTGAGTAGGACGCCAACGAAAAAAAGACTCCCCACAGCGGTTTGCCGTGCCCGATTCTTCTTGTCCCAGTTGAGAAATTCCCATAACGTTTTCACGCGGCCAAAGCCCCACTCGACGCTTTCTCTTATGCTGCTCATGTTACGGTTAAATTCAGAAGCTGAAGAAGCTGTTGCAATTGATGAACAACGTATATATATCGGCTACACCCGTACGCTGGGTCGCCGTATATGAGCTTTCTGCAAAACATGCCACTTTGATCATCCTCCATTAGGTCTAGGATGCCGCTAAGATTGAGCATGGCTGAGTCGTGGCGTCTTCCTTCTAATGAACCAACAAACTGATAATGATTCCATCAGGGGCTTGGATACTCTGCCAATTAAAACAGTGTCTTCGAGGATGACCGTTGTATAGAGCTCGCTGGAGGTTTCGTATCGCGACACAGGTGTCTCTCTTGCACTAGGTCTAGCCATGTACTGCTTGGTGCCATCAATAAAAGCCCAGCACGTTCGTAAAGGTGAATCCTTCGCGTGAATAGCAGCAGCGTACACGGTAATGCGTAAGTGGACCAAATCATTGTTGAAGTAGACTAAATCGCAGTGTTGGTCAACGGTGAGCTGTGCGGTTGCTTTCAATATTCGACTGTACGGGCCAGTCCCTCTACTAAACTCACTTGCTACTGTCAACAATTTCGATGGCTCAGAAAGTCGCCGACACAACATCGCTAAAGCTTCAACACGACCCACGCGACCACCTGACGGTGTTGTCACTCCGTCCTCCGGAAGCCGCAGCTTGGTGGCCAGAACCGCCAATTCAGCAATAGAAAAATGATAGCGAACTTTAGCAGTTGAATAGTCTAGCATGCTGTCAAATGATCTTGATCGATCAACAGGAGGGGGTGCGTCTCGCTGTCGAAAGCAGTTATTTCGTTGCAGCACGGCCATGATTCTTGCGAAGCGCCTCCGGTTTCTCCTAGCCAGGATCCATACAGAAGCAACAACAACGAACGCATCATCTGCAGAAAGCTTCGGCGCAGCGAACACAATTTGCGAGTGTGGCAATCTCTGTTGAAACCCGCTTTTAGATAGCCTCCGTGGACCTGGAACCTAATCACTTTCGAGATAAGATTGGCGCCCAACCACCGTCAAACTGAATTTGAAGCTGAAACGTGGTCAACTCCGACCTTCCGAAAGCTCTCTTATATCATCACAATTGTCAAAATGAGCTGTTTAGGTTTGTCAAATGATAAATTATCCTTTGGCAAACCACCTTGGATTGCGACGTATTTTACAGCACATGCACATAAAGTAAAAGCCGATGGCTGCATTTTATAAATACAAAACGTAGCTAAATTTGTTTTTTTTCTGTTTGGTAACTTTAAATGCAGCCATCGACTTTCACTACACACACATCGGTAAAGCGAAAGCCACCTTACTAAGTAGATCGCATCGTATGCATGCTTTGAAACACCGCTACCGTTTACAAACTAGCACGAGGTGTTAGCTCTTTTGTCTTGTTGGGCTAACACTTGATCCATAACGACATCGTACCGCAGTCAATACGTATTTTATGAAGTAACGTTTGCCTGCTTGCTCTACAAATATTTTACCTTGGCTCTACTGAGCTGTAACCTACGGCTGCATGACTGAGTACTTATGTTGGGCGCTCTACTTGTGCTCTGCGTGGAAGATTAAAGACTGATTGTATACAGTTGTTATGTAACATTTAATGTGCATCCTCTCTTGTGAGAGGTTTTCTAACTGCTCATTCGTCTCGTAATCTCCACCGATGCTCACCTTCTCGTGAGCGAAGAGATCTTCACAATCGCATCGTCGTGTACGATGTCTCAAGATGTCCTAAAATCATGGTAATCTCCTGTGATTTCAGACACACCTTCTCCAGCGATCAGCCTGATAGCATCACAATCTGACGTACTTATTTACGCTGTGGCGCAGGGAGAGGCTTTGTCAGGATGCTCACACGCAACCTTACGGACTCGCAGTGCTCCTACATTTTTCTGTACGAAGTCTTAGACGAGCTTGTGACGTGTATCGATGTGTTTTGCGCGACCGGATGAAGCTTCTCCTTCTAGTTGAGCAATTCCGGCCTGGTTGTCGATGTGAAGCACCGACAGCTCTTGTAGCTTCAGTCCTATTTCCTTGAGGCACTCCAAGATGCCTATCATCTCCGCGGTTGTCTGTGACGCCGCCACAAACTCTGACTCCATGGTCGAGTGTGCAACGCACGTTTGATTCTTGTATTGCCTCGCCACTACGACTCCTGCCACCATGAGTACTCTTCCTGTTATTGACTTCCTGTCCTTCTTGTTCAGTGCATAGTCTGCGTCGTTGTACGCCTCCACCAGCACCTTGTCGTCGCACTTTTGCTCGTGTTCATCAGGAACTTTAATATCGTTGTTCCCTTCAGATACCTGGTAATCCGCTTAGCTAGCGTACTGTTCTCCTCAGTGGGTGTGTGCGCGTTCCTGGTCACGTAGTGCACTGCAAAGCTATGTCTGACGCTGCGGGCATCTTGAGATCCACAGCAAACAGCCCACCAGAGATGCACCGATGGACGTATTGGACTCCCAGCACCCTTACTTGGCTGTAGTGCACCCGCCTCCTCGCCGCCGTGTCCACCATCGATTGGCGTACGTACGGGTGCCAAGCTATCCAGCTCACACTTCACCAACCAAAATCAGATGACCTGTTGTTTATCCGGTGCCCACCCATTTTCGTTTGTCGTAGTTAAACGGGATCCCTTAAATCTTAACGACAACAAGCCCTCCGTTCCACGACCTACATGCCGTCGAAGAACTTAACTTCGCTCCTGGCCGCCACTAAGACGGCAACGAGCGAGGAAAAGGTCGGCAAGTGCTTCATCCACATAGATGCCTAAAGGTGCCATGCCGTCTCCTTTTGTCTTAATGTACAGGCAACGTCCGTGTAGCACTGCTGATACCCCAGCGAGACCAAAATATGGTGCAGGAAGTGATTTCACAGTCGGCCCGACTGCTTCAACCCATTCAGTCCTTCTACAGGATCAACACCATTTCGTCTTTGCTGGTCTCGCCCAGTGCCTTGAGCTGTGCCTTAATGAGATCCATGCCCTGCAGTATCAGCAGGATGATGATCAGGTCAGCTTCCTTCTTGGCCTTCACATATGCACTTGGAACGTCTCGTGGCGCACTGGAACCCCACCCCCAGACATGCGACACCACTAGTATCACTCTCTCTCTCGCTGACGCTACCCCCGCTACTACTGAGAATGTGAATGTATTGTCCACACCATACTCTGGCTGGTCTTCATGAGCCACCAGGCTAGCCTTGTACCGCTCGATGGTACCGTCCGCGAAATTTTCAGCTTAAACACCCACTCCGGACGCAGGCATTATACTCCCGGCGGCTTCTTTGCCAATGCCCACGTGGCGTTCTGTTCCAACGCATCAATATCCCCCTTGATAGTTTGCCTCCATTTTTCTGCACGCTGGTCCTTCATTGCTTGTTTGTAGTTCTTCGGGTCTTTACGCATCACGAAGCTCACCCTGTTCATCTGGACGTGCTTCGCGTCCATGTTACGCGTACGCATCCGTGTGTGATGCTGTTTTTCGAATGCCACTTGCTCTTCGACTGCTCCTTCTTTTTCTGCTGCATATTTCCTTTCAGCTGTTTTCCTGTTCTTGTATCTCGTCTTCGACTTCTTCGACCGTTACCACTTCTTCTCCTTCGACTTGTCCGTCGAACTGTTGTTCTTCTTCCTACAGTGTCACTGCCTTGCGACTCGTCATCGCTTGTCTCCTTTCGTTTCGTATTTGACATACCCTCTTCGACTCTGCTTGCTCTATTTCTGGATCCTCGAGTTCGCGCTGTGCCTGCAAATGTGCATTTCGCTTCTCATCCAAGGTCTCCAC